AATAAGAAATAATTTTTAAAGACAGGATTACACTATATATTTTTAACATTTTACTATTTATATTTAAAAAATCCTGAGAAATCGAGCAAATGAGAGTGTAACGCAGTTGTTGGAGCAAATACTGTTAATCAGTGCAGTAATTGATTGCATATATTTCCATAAAAATAATTTATATTTTATATATTTTTATTACACTATATTTTATTTTACTTTATGCTGCCCACAGAAACACCTCTCGAAAAATCCGCCGTTCGGAACCGGCATTAAAACTGTAGGTCCCATATGCTCGTGACAATTAAATAATCACCGTATATATCACAAGCATATGAGAGAGGTGTAATATAGGCCAAAGGCTTAACAAGAAGAGAAAGAAGAAGAAGATTTTATACTGTTTATGCAGTATTAATAGATTAAATATATATTATAGGTTGATGAAAAAACTAATGACAAACCAACATCAATAGCAGAAGAAAGAGAACCCACATCTCCTACGAAAGAGAATGAAGTTTCAGCCACTACTTTATTAATCGCTGTACCTGTAAGAGAATTACCCGAAGGAGTTCAATGGGATTTTGATGTCGAAAATTGGCTAGATCCATACCAGATATCACATTATGCAATGGATATTTTCGAATACTTGAAGGAACGAGAACATTTATTCCCCATCAGCGATTACATGGACCGGCAAGTATGTCTCTCACAATGGATGAGAGCGCTACTAGTCGACTGGATGGTTGAGGTTCAGGAATCATTTGAGTTGAACCATGAGACCCTATATCTGGCTGTAAAACTTGTCGATTTATATCTGACAAAAATGACAGTCGGGAAAGAGACTCTACAACTGCTTGGCGCTGCAAGTCTTTTCATAGCGAGCAAATTTGATGTAAATTTTATAATTATATATCCACAAAATTTTTGCCTAACAAAATTGTACTCCTGTCACGAACAATAAGCTCTTGATAAAAACTTCGTAACTTTGGCTTTAGGAAAGAATACCACCAATGGTGGAAGATTTCTTATATATATGTGATGGCGCTTATACACAGAGAGAACTGATAAAAATGGAAATGAATGTTTTAAAAGTAGTCAATTTTGACCTGGGAGTGCCTCTTTCTTACAGATTTCTTCGGCGTTATGCTAGGGTAAGCAGTAACAAAGCTATCGATTTATATATAGGAATATTTTGTTTTAAGATTTAAATAAATATATTAGACGATATAATACTTCTTCCGCTAATTTTCGTTCAAAGAAAAAGGTAGGTTTTATTATTCGAAATTAGATTTAAGATTTAATATATTTTCAAATCAATAGGATTAATGCATAAGGCCTGACTGACTTATTTTGTTATAATAACAATCATCCAACAATTGGAAGCTCTATGTTTGGTTCCTCCAAATCGGATAGCAAAGCGCATCTGATATTTTTTTTTCGTAATATATAAAAAATCTCGAATTTTTACTAGAAGTTCTAAGCCACGAGCGAACACATCGACGTCTATGTACTTGTAGAGAAAGTTGAGAGAAATCATATTTTTTAACTCTTAAAAACAAGAAGAGGAACTTTGAAAGGGAATATTATCATATATGATATCAATTAATTGATATTAATATTTAAAAACATTTCACTAATTAACTATTATAATATTATTAATATTATATATTTTATAACATCAATAAGACTTTCTTGTGTGCCTTCCTGTGTATCAATATTTTATCTTCTTAATGTCCATGGCTAAACTAGAAAGGTTGTATGCATTTTTTGTAATTTTTCCCGTAGAATTGACTGATGTAATTTCGCTCTACATTCAATATTTAATAATTGATTTATGACAATTTGTTACAAAATTGATTTTTGTAATGTACTTTTTATTTATCAGAAATATTTATTCACATTCCGGTCTTATTTTCAATTGTTATTTTCTTGTTAATTTTATTGGTTTAATCTTGGGCCTTAATAAATTAACGAGCAAATGTGACATGATGTATATAACCTGATGTATATACCTACAAAATAACATATGATTTAACGCTGTTCGCTCCTGGCCCATTTTACCCGAGTTGAGTGTGTATACACCTATATAGAAGATGTTCAGTAAACAACGCTTAAGGGTAGATTTCCGATATCATTTTGAAACGAAAATTCTAATACCAAAATGTCGAGAGTATGATTCGATAACTTTAAGTACTTATAATTCGAAAAATTATTAAAACTTCGACATTTTGGTATTAAATTTTTTGTCTCAAAATGATCTCAGGAATCTACTTTTAAGCATTATTATAGTTTTTACTAAACTCTGTATGTGTGTATATTTCCAAATTACATTAGACTGTAAAAAAAAGTACAATTACATTTTTCTATTGGAGACCAGTTATTTTAATATTTTAAAATTTAGTTTCCGATATCTATTCTAAAAAATCTGATAGACTATCTTATTCGAATAGGATCTATACACTAACTCAATCATTATTATCTGAAAATAGTGTGCCAAGGTCTCCATGCCCACGTTAACTCTGGCTCGGTATATATTGGAACACTCGTTGATGGATTATACGATGATCAGATTTAGTGATAGCAAAATGGCAGCGGCGGCGTTGTTATTGGCATTGCTAATGAAAGATCTAGGAGGATGGAATCCAACATTAGAATACTATAGCGGTTATAAACTGGATGACATAAGAGATATTTGCAATCTTCTGAATCAAAGTTTACATAGGAAGCATAAAGAAACATTAAAAACTGTTCGCAGCAAATACAGCCACAAGTAAGTATTTAATTGTATTAATTTTATATATTAATTATATTTAATTTATTTCTTTTATATATTTCCTTTTGTGTGTGTGCGTGCGTGCGTGCGTGCGTGCGTGCGTGCGTGCGTGCGTGCGTGCGTGCGTGCGTGCGTGTGTGTGTGTGTGTGTGTGTGTGTGTGTGTGTGTGTGTGTGTGTGTGTGTGTGTGTGTGTGCGCGCGCAGAGTGATCTACTTAAATTGAAAACTTTAAATATTTTATTTTATTTTTGATGATACAAAAAATATTTTAAATGAAAGAAGAATGGTTTTGAGGGAGATGTATTTTGATCACTTTTTTAAAGATGTGAAACCATCTAAAATATGAAGATTTTTTAGATGGAATTATATGATATTTTTTACAAAATTTGAAGTTTTTAACTAATCTACACATAAAAAAATTAAGGTATCAAGTAACTAATAGTTTACGATTTACGAGATATTTTACACTTTATTCTGGCATGACATGAAATATTTATGTATCGTACTTAGTCGTATCCTTAATCGTATACTAAATTAATTTTTTAATAATCGTACATTAATATAATATTATGTGCAGAATAATTAAAGATTATATTATCTAAAAATTATATAATTCTATTTAAAAAGGTGAAAATAATCTTCATATCTTTCTAACGTCTCCATTTAAAAAAAAATGTGACCAAAAATCATTCCATTCCGTCCTCTTCAAAATCATTCCATTTTCATTTAAAACATTTTTGTATCATTAAAAATGAGTGACACATTCAAGATTTTCAATTTAAGTGCGTGCGTGCGTGCATGTGTGTATAGGATGACCAGTAACTCTTGTGACAACACTCGAGTGCAAATAGAGAGTAGATTAAAGTAAAATCCTATGTATCACTTTATAATTTTCGCAATAGTTAACAATTAATTATTAAAAAATTAAACAATGTCATGCCTTATTTCGAGCTTATAATTAGAATAACTTTAAATTAATATAATTAATATAAGAATATAAATACTAAATAATATTCTACTCAAATGTTTCTGCTGACAAAGCCTTCTTCAGTGTTAAAACATAGAAATACAATGTTAAATTAACAAACCAAATAAATAACAAATGAAAATTTTAAAAAATCATCAGTGGACAACACAGTGACAATATATAAAAAATGTCAATATATAAAAAATTCAAACGTCAAAAAGTATGGCAGATTATAATAAGATAAGAAGATTTTAAATACTTCAGTCAAGAGTAGATTACATTATGTCTCTCGATAAAATAGTTTTGCCAAATTGAAATCGAGAATCCAGTTTGTCGCAGACTTGTTTCAAATGATTTGAGAATTCATTATAAATGTGAAAGAAGACTATTTTTAAAACAAAAAGAAGTTTTATTGGTTAATGGCAAAAAAAGAAATTGAAAATTCCAAAGATATTCTATCTATCGTTTTTTCTGTATCAAGAACAACACAGAAGAAACTAAAATGTTAAAGTCGAGCCAAAATATTCCTTTGATTGAATCCAATGAATCTTTAGTCACCATCAATATCGAAATTTAGAGGCGAAAAGAATTCTTTTAATCCATTAGAACAAACTAACAAAAAATGGTTTAATTTGAGTGAGACAACATTTCTATATATGTAATAAATTTGTTACAAATGGGTAGCAATTTTAATTCCCTTCCAATAATAAAGAAAAATCAATCAAGGATATTGAAAGCTGCTACTACTGAAATAACTTAGGATTGATATCGAAAATTAGGAATCGCCATTCCCGAATTCCACCACTTTCTTCACAACAAGCCATGCTTAAATATTCAGAATAAAAAAATTAAGATCGACACAATGGTGTAATAATAACAAAAATATAATTTTCACACGTGCGGACAAGGGCAACGTAATCATAGCCATAGATATGACTTTTTAACAAGGTTTTTGAATTACTTAATGATTCAAAAACATATTCGGTGGTTAGACAAAATCCGACAATGGTGAAAGAAATTTTAATAATATGTTAAAAAAATGGCATCAAAAGGAATTCATCTCGAATAAAGAATTGTGTTTTCGATCAAGTGATTCCATTTTACTGAAAGCATATGTTTTACCAAAAATACACAAGACATTTCCTTTAGAATTATTGTTTCTTCAATCAACACAACTCTTTATTCCTTAGCTAGTTATTTACAAGATATTATCTCCGAAAATATTCCTCCTGCAAAGAGTAGAATAAAAAAAAATAGTTTTGAATTTCACAATAAATTAACTGGAACAATTGGAGACACAACCAATTTGAGAAAATTTTATTTAATGTTATTTCTCTGTTCATATCAAATATTCCGTTAGCTATTGCGCTAGATGGATTAGAGAGAAAGTAGGACTCTAATTAGGACTTAAATTATTCGTGTACCACGAACATAGAATTTATACCAAAGAATGAATTTATGCGGTTTGTCTTAATATCAACATATTTTACTTTTAATGAGATCCTTTACAAACAAACAATGTTAGATATGATAGAGGAAAAGGAGGAACCCTATGGGTTGGGGATGTCTTTATGATCGCACTAAAGATAAGGTCATTCAAATTTTAAATTCATTTAATGAACAGCACGATAGACTCAAATTCACTATTGAATATGAGAAAGATCATTGCTTGAATTTTTTGGATCTATCAGTCATCAATAAAGACAATACTATTATTTTAGATTGATATTATTAAAAGACGTTCTCGGGCAGATATTTATCGTTCTATTCTATTCGAATCATTCTACATGCCATAAAATTGGAACTATGTATAGTTTAGTTGATAGAACAATCTTATTGTCAAATCTTACATTCTATAATAAGAATATAGAATTTATAATAGAGATTTTGAAGGATAAAGGTTATCCTTTAGGAATGATTTTTAATTAAATAAATATATAAATTTAATAAAAGGATTAAAAGTTTAGCTTGTAAAAAATTCATAATGTAAATAACATTGGCTCAGTTGATACTGAAGTTTTAAAAGAGTTAATGGTTTTTAACGGTTAAATAGTTAATGATTAAACGGCCTATCGCCAGATACACACCCAGACTGTGATCACTAGCACAGAGAATTGTTTATTACAAGCGGCAAAGGAAAACAATTCTCCACTTTGATCGTATCTCACGCGTTTGCATTTAAATAGTAGGTCAGGTGAATATTTAGCGATCTTTAGAAATTAATATTTCATTAACTATTGCGAAAATTGTAATATACTACAGGATTTCCACTTTGTCTGCATACGAGCATTGTCCAAATATTCTAGGACATCTTGTATACATATACAATGTATTTTTTGTAAGTTATCAATGTTCATTCTATTTTATTTGCATTCTAGGATTTTCTTCGAAGTTGCGAAGCTGCCCCTAAAAGAGACTTTAGACATATGAATAGAAAAAATACAATTAAGAGTGAGGGTGCGCTCCCATAGGATGCGGAATTGCAGAACGTTTATAATTGGTTGTGACTTCATTCCGTCGATTCCGCTCAGCTAAGTGTTTTCCTATGTCACATTGAGCGGAATTTGCGGAATGCGCAATTAGCGCTGACAAATCGCAAGAGCTTTCCTGTAGATCACTTTCATTAGATCTACCGGAATAGTTTTTGTCATTAGCTCACACTTGATTGCGTATTTACAAGTTTTGTTTAATGGAACATAAAGAAAATTCCTGCGGATAGAAAATCATACATACAGGGATGTCTGCCAACTATGTTTTATGTATCCATTTCGATTTTGATTTACATTTTCGCTTTTCTGTATATTATTTATGACATTCATTTTCTGACCGTATTGATTCCGTCCGTATTTATTTGTAGGCAGAAACCAGTAATTTAATAAAAAATTACAGGGATACCGCGAGTAGTTACGCGCTTTTAAACGGTTTGACTTGATTTATGACTCGATTTCATGTGTATCTTGCATATTATTTACGGCTCTTTCCGTTTTTGATGGCTCTTAATCGATTTGCCTTCGATTAATATATTCTTGTAGAAGATAGGTTTTCTTCGTTTAAACCATGTTAACATCGTTAGCGAGATATCCATACGAATCCGCTAAAAAACTAAAACTGCGGAAAAGAAACCGACGAAATCGACAAAATGAAACCATTACCAATCACGAATATTCCGCAGTTCCGCATCCCATGGGGAGCACACTCTAAGGAAATTGAAGTAACTAACTGTAAAAAAGAAAGTAAAAATTCTCCAAATTCAGTACAGACAAATGAATTATCTTAGTAGCATGACAATAGAAATTAAGACTAGTCGTAACATTTGTTGGACAGCTTGTTTGTTAAGTATTGTAATATTAGCACGCGAATAGCGACGCTACCCTCTAAATTGTATAATGCATGAAACGAAAGCGGAAACGTAAAAAATCTCAAATGTATGTCAAAAAGTTTTATCATGAAACTTCACCGAGTTTTTTTACGGGTACACTTGATAGCGTATGACTCATCTTTATTATTATTATTATTTATATATATGTATATGCAGTAATCTCTATATCACTTTACAGTCTTTGCTATTTGTATAAGTCATTTTACTAATTCTTTTTCTTTTTTTATTAAATATTTATTTTAGCGCCACGCTTTTATATCTTGCGAGATAAATCCTCAACCTGAAATGTGATATCGGGTTTTTTTTCAATATGCGAGAATAGACTGAAAAGTAATGCACGTATGGTTGACTCATGAACGAAAAAAATGTGTATTTTCAAAATTCAAAGTAAAGAAAAGAATAAATATTAATCTATTTTTTTTACATGCTCGCCTTGTAATCTAATAAATTTGTTCCTAATAGATTAGAAATTTTCTTTATACATAACACCATTATTTACTTAACTTTATCATCTGCGGAAAAATAAGACGCCTTATAAGTCAAGAAAAGAAATACAAATCGCAATGTTAGACCTGTCGACCTGAGAAGTGATTTTATTATCTACTGTCATAGCAACTTTCTAAAATTCATACATAATTTTAGAGCAAATGAGTTTACATTTATCACAAAATTTTTATATTCAAAAAACCACTACTTTTCGAGTAACAGCATTCATGCCCTAAACCAGACCTGTTTAATACTTTGTTGGCAAGCTAAATGCTACGATTTCTCCAGCGTCTCGTTGAGCGAGATAAAGAAAAAATAGAAAAAAATAAATCCCAAAGTTCTGCTCAGTGATTGGTTACTTTAGCATCTATTTTTTGTTTTTTCAATATCTTATTTAGTGAAATGGAGAGAGGAAATCGTAACTGACAAATTACAATAAATGTTATGTTTGCTCTAAAGTTTTTATAATTTCTCTTTCTTTTTCCCCCTCTCTCTCTCTCTCTCTCTCTCTCTCTCTCATTAGATTGCAAATATTAGTTCTAATTAGCATAATTTATATATATATATAAGTATATATTTTTTAACTTCGGTTGTTTGAAAATCATTGATTAAATCAAAATTTTTTTATGCATATTTATTAAAAATAACTGAATAAATACAATATAATACTGTCCTCCATCTCGTTCCTTAGAATAGTTGATCGTATGCGTTGCTTTTCAGCCTGTCTCCTTGTAATTAATTTTCATTTTTCGATTCCTTTCACGATAATATTTTAAAATTATATTGTCAATTGCTGATTGATAATATGATGTGAACATGATTATGCGCAAGCGAATGACTGTGTGATAATTCTCACTGAAGATATCATATAAAGAGTGTGGCGCGTTGTTATATATCATTGTTGTATTTATAGTTAGGTTTCCAAATTTCTTTCTCGTCAGGATCAAGCTAGCTTTTCTTGTCTTTTCGCTCCCCAGTCTTCACACATTTCAATATTGACAATGTAATCATTGAAATATGATTGGAAATATGATTGAAGTACAAGAAGAAAAAAAAACGTAGAAAAACTAACTCATATTCGATAGGGAAATGCAGTGGAAGCCTGACTATACATGGATTGAATGGAGCTTATGTTGTTGGATGAGAAACTCTGATTTCTATGACAGTCATGAATGAGAAAACGAAATATTTATCACAGATAATCGGATGATATGAAGATTCAATGAAGAATAGAGTATTCTACATCTGATATCTAGTGATCTAATTTAGGTGTATTTATACATTATGGCAATTTGTTAGATTTAAATTCTTCTGTTTTGTATATTTAGCGAAGTAAGATCTCTTTTCTATCAAACTCATAATTACTAAATTTATATGGCAAATATCAGCCGTTTCTATTGCCAAATGTGGTTTGTACAAGATGTATCTAAAATAAGGACACTAGAGTACCGATTATATAATTTTTTCCTTAAGCCAGAATTGTGAAAAGTGAAAAAAAAAATTCATTTTCGCCATAGGGAAAAAAATTAATCGATACTCATTTAAGCTTATTATTAATTTATTATAATACACCTACCATTCGCTACTTTAAGAGTCAAAGAAAGAAAAAAGTTAAAGATTTATATATTCTTGTGTGCCAAAACAATAAGTGTAATAAATTCGGAAAAGAATCACAATTCCAATGTTTCGAAATTTATGTAATAGAGGTGACATAATTCTCTTTTCCGAACGAAAAAAACCTTCAGATAAATATTAATAAAAATCGAAAAAAATCTGTGATATCAACATTCGCTCATAATGTCGCAAAACCGAATCGAATGCGCGTACGTCGTGCATTTTTCTCTTTTCAAATGCAGGGTGGCCACGAAATCCTCTAATGTAAAGTTGAATGGCCGGTGTAAAGAATAAGTCCGTAATTTGAACGCTTTATTTTGAATATTTAGCATCTAAAATGAATCTATTGCATTCTTACGTTTGACGGGGAGATGCTTATTTGACACTCGTACAATATAATCTGTTTATATAATTAATATGATTTATATTTTGAATGTGAAGAAATACAAAATCATTAAAAAATAATATAAAAATCTTTTAGTATAAAAAATAAAATACTTAGAAAACTAAGAATATATACATATATAATTAATATTTAAATTACCTGCTAGATATACGTTTTCGATTATTTTCATAATCAAGTTCTATGTGTGACATCCTTTGTATTTCTTGATAAAAATATCAAATATTTGGTAGTAAATATTGATATGTATAGCACATTTGACAATAATGGCTAATTATACAAAATGAAACAAGAATTTTATGGCTACCCAGTATAAAATACATAGTAGTAATTGCTCAGTATTTATACGATTATTCTTAAGTAAAAATAATGCGCAACTTCAGAATTAACTTTCGTTAGATTTTCTACCTCAAAAAAAGCGAATATCTAAGTAAAAGTTACATACTGTACATATATAATCAATCACAGATTTTCATCTGTATATATATATTGTACCCAAGATTAATTAGGACAAAATTAAAATAAATTTATGTAACAAATATAGATATATATATAAAAAAGATACATGCGCGATCATAATTTTGGTCTAAATTAAGCCAGTGTGTATATAATATATTTTTTTACTATCAATAAATTAATGTTTATTATGCTGAAATAAAATGTGTGGTCTATACACTATAAACGAGATGTAATTTAATAAAATCATAAGAATATATTTGTTAGTTCGTTATGCATTATTTTACCAGAACAAATATTACCAACCAAGAAAATGGAATTTTATCTTTTATTATCGATTCATTCTTAGTCAAATAAGACGATTATCGAAACTATTCTGTACACTTTAGAGATTGATATTTGCAATCAATCTCTATTCTACAAGTAAATTAACTTTTTTCTATCATTTTTTAAATCATAATTTGAATTTCATGACTTTATTTACATGTTTTACATTTCTTTATAAATGTTTTGTATAATGTATTTAATAATTGTTATATCAAGAATTATAATAGAGTCGCTATGTCGCGATAGAGAATGTAATAGAAACATCAAAATTTCTTTCTGAAAATTATTTACTGTTATACATTGCGCGTTTTTTAAAGCTTTCCATAAATAAACAAATATACATACTTTAAATTCAGTAAAAATCAGGTACGCACTTATTACTACTACTATTTAGTTTTTACATAAAAACTTTATATTATTTGTATTAATCGATAATATCTGTAACTTTAAAATTACTATTGACTTAAAAAGCTTATTGCCATTTACAAATTGCAAGAAAATAATACTTTTTGTTCACTCGCTATGCTCTCGAATAAATATTATTGAAATTTCTCTAAATCTATCAGAATCTAAAAAGAACAACACGAATGTATAAATTAAGTTCCGGAAAATTCGTATGAGTTTCAACAAATGTCTTTATAAACTGTTGCGTAAATTGTTAAAATGATTGAAAATAGATGACATTTTATATATCGTATAAAAAGTAACATTTTACCATATAATTTAATAAATAATCTTATTGAATTTATATCCTACACATTAGCA